GGCGCTGTGGGGCAATATGGGGACAATCACAGCTCCGGGTGTTGGGGACGGTGACAACATCCAGGGTGGCTTCAGGTGTTGGGGACAAGTCCAGGTGTTGGGGACACTGTTGGTGACGGCTCCAGGTGTTGGGGACGGTGACAATGCTGACGGTGGCTCCAGGAGTTGGGGACAGGTCCAGGTGTTGGGGACGGTGTTGGTGACATTGTTGGTGACAGCTCCGGGTGTTGGGGACGGTGACAACATCCAGGGTGGCTTCAGGTGCTGGGGACAGGTCCAGGTGTTGGGGACAAGTCCAGGTGTTGGGGACATCGTTGGTGACATCTCTGGCTGTTGGGGACATTATTGGTGACAGCTCCGGGTGTTGGGGACGGTGACAACATCCAGGGTGGCTTGAGGTGTTGGGGACAGGTCCAGGTGTTGGGGACATCGTTGGTGACATCTCTGGCTGTTGGGGACATTGTTGGTGACAGCTCCGGGTGTTGGGGACAGTGACAACATCCAGGGTGGCTTCCTGTGTTGGGGACAGGTCCAGGTGTTGGGGACATTGTTGGTGACATTGTTGGTGACAGCTCTGGGTGTTGGGGGTGGTGACAACATCCAGGGTGGCTTCAGGTGTTGGGGACATTGTAGGTGACATTGTTGGTGACAGGTCTAGGTGTTGGGGACAGGTCCAGGTGTTGGGGACACTGTTGGTGACGGTGTTGGTGACAGCTCTGGGTGTTGGTGACACTGTTGGTGACAGCTCCGGGTGTTGGGGACACTGGGGGTGTTGGTGGTGACACTTCTGGCTGTTGGTGACACTGTTGGTGACAGCTCCGGGTGTTGGGGACCCCCTGGGTGTTGGTGACGGTGTTGGTGACGGTGTTGGTGACATCTATGGGTGTTGGTGACACTGTTGGTGACAGCTCCGGCTGTTGGGGACACTGGGGGTGTTGGTGGTGACATCTCCGGGTGTTGGTGACATTGTTGGTGACAGCTCTGGGTGTTGGGGATCCTGTAGGCTTTATTGGTGACACTTCTGGGTGTTGGTGACGGTGTTGGTGACATCTATGGGTGTTGGTGACACTGTTGGTGACAGCTCCGGCTGTTGGGGACACTGGGGGTGTTGGTGGCGGTGTTGGTGACATTGTTGGTGACATCTATGGGTGTTGGTGACGGTGTTGGTGACATTGTTGGTGACATCTCTGGGTGTTGGTGACATTGTTGGTGACAGCTCTGGGTGTTGGGGATCCTGTAGGCTTTATTGGTGACACTTCTGGCTGTTGGTGACGGTGTTGGTGACATCTATGGGTGTTGGTGACACTGTTGGTGACATCTATGGGTGTTGGGGACCCCCTGGGTGTTGGTGACGGTGTTGGTGACATTGTTGGTGACAGCTCCGGGTGTTGGTGACACTGTTGGTGACAGCTCCGGGTGTTGGGGATCCTGGGGGTGTTGGTGGTGACACTTCTGGCTGTTGGTGACGGTGTTGGTGACATTGTTGGTGACATCTCTGGGTGTTGGTGACACTGTTGGTGACATCTATGGGTGTTGGGGATCCTGTAG